AAGAGACAGCTTACGGCTGCTTAGAAGGAAGCCACATGAGTAGGTCACTGGACCCATGGAGAATCCTTTGCAGCAGCAACCCACAGCAATAAACACCACTTTATGCCAGGGAAACAAACGGCCTGTCAGTGAGGTGCCAGTCACGTTTAAAGGCCAAAGAGATGTTTTTAATTAGGCAAAGCACTGAATGCGGATTACTAGCCGAGCTTTTATCAGCCTTGAAGTCAATGGTAAACCTATAGTATTTTGCTAGGCTTTAAATACCAGATTTATAAAGAGAGTAGAAAACAAAGATGACTATCTTTTCTGGAAATAACATCATCTTTACTGTAGGAAGACTGCTTCCATGTTGATTTTTTTAAAAAATAAGAAATAAATGATTGAAATTACCACAACCATGCACAGTGTCGTTTTCAAACGCAAGGAACAGCACACTCCTTTCCGGAATCACTCTATGACTGCTTCCAGTGTCCGACCTGAGCTGTGTCTCCTGTTCTCTGCCCTTCAGTTTTAGATCTCATCATTTGCAGTGACCGGAGAAACTCATCAAACCATCCATTCCTTGCAGAAAGGATCAGCAGAAGGGCTGAACAAACCATAACAATGCACGAAGAAAGAAGAAAATAGCTTCGCTGTTCAACATTAGATCAATATTAGCTCTTTAAAAGATCTTCCACTAGAATTCAGTGAAAATTGGAGGTATTTGGCTTGTTTGAATCCATTTTTTAAAGAAAAAGACAACCCCACAGCCAAAGACCAAATATCATATCAACAATAATAATAAATAAATAATAATAGTAGTAGTTATAATAAGTCACATCCACCCCCCATTCCATGGGACCTGAACTTGAATGCATCAAACACGTGAAAATATGGTTAAATAGGTTACCCAGAGTAACAGGACATACTATTTGCATTTTTCAATTATTGAACTAAAAATTTGGAAATGGGAAATAATATCAAGTAGCAAAAAACCACTCCGTCTTCCCAAAGCAAATTTAATAAATGATAGCCTTAATTTAGACTGGCATGTTTACATTGCTAATTATAATATGGCAAAAGCAACAGTAAGGAGGTTTCAATACAGATCCACATTCTTCATCAACGTAAGCTGGCACAGGAAGAATCATCACATTGAACAAGGTAAGAATCTCATCCGCAGTGTAAGCGCATATTAGTTTTTCAAGAAAAATAAGTTTCAAATACTCAGTAGCACTTTCAAATATAAAGACAGCAGCTTTGTTTAGATCACATCTTAGGGAAAGGTTCATTCCATTTCAGCAACGGAATCAGAGTAAGCTTTTGAAAGGTCAATATCCATAAACTAAAATACTCCTATTTTTTAAACTCCGGAGCAAAAAATATAACTAATCATATATGAATTATCAACAAAAGCATTGATTTTTTTTTTTTTTTTAAAGCAACAACAGTCAGTGCTTGACCAACAGCAATTTTTTTAAAAACACAAAGCACCCCAGTAAAACTGCACAGTTATCCCAGTGGTAAAATGTGCACTGGTGATACTTAGTATATTTTTAAGAGGTAGGGGTTTTGAATGCTACCATCATCCTCTGAGGATGAAAGAAAAAAAAAAAAGGATTACAGTTTAAAAACCAGCTACCAGCTTGACTTTTGACTGATAAGGACTCTTTCTACAGCAAACAGAAAAAGAAGGAGGAGCAACATAATTCAATTCTTTTTGCTAAATGTACTAGCTTCACCAAGCAAATGGCTTACAAAGGAATGATTCTACAGCCTGAGATACAGAAACAAAGTTTTACTGAGACAGCTTTGCCTTTGGGACAAGAGGAAAGCGTTCCAGGAGCTCTCTGCCTTCAGCCCTCTCTCTCTAGCATATCTGACTGACTTCCCACACCACCATGTGGGACAGGATTAATTTCACTCCAACCTTTAGTTCTTCCTGAAAGAGATACCAGGATGAGCTTCTCTATTGCTCTCTGGGACTCAACATATCATACTAACCAGGTTATATTTACCTAAATG